ATCACATCATAGTAAGTATATCATTTCTAATTAAGGTAAAACAGAGGTTTATAGAGTGCGTGCACCGTACGTACGTACGTACGTACAAAACATATGACCTTGCTTTACTACTGCTTTCTTTTTATGATTAGAGTACTAAAATAATTCTTTTTTTTTTAAGTTTGGTTTTTATAGGCAAATAATTTTTTGCTATTTTCCTTTTCTGCAAATACATGTTCGTCCTAATAATATCGCTATTTTAATGTATTATCCACATTTTAATCCTTAGAATATAAAAATATGTCGGATTGGTTTGAAGTTGGTGTTAAACGAAAATATATTACAAAATTTAAGTATGATTCTTTTCAGAATTGGAAACAAATTGGTAAAGGAGGGTTTGGCACTGTATATAGTGCTTATTCAAGTGATATTGAAAACATTATAGCTTTAAAGAGTTTAAATTGTAGTGATAATGACATTTCGGAGAGCGGATTTATTAAAGAAGTATTAATCATTTTATAATTTCATTTATATTTTCTTTACGCCTTATTTACGTCTTTAATGATTTTATTATATTCTCCGATATACTATAAGATTAAAAACATTGCTAGAGTTGCACATCATGATAGTATAACCCGGTTCTTTGGAATCACACAAGGTATATTAAATTTATAGAATAACAAAAACAAAGTCCTATCAGTTAACTAATAATGTCGAGTTAATCAGATCCAAACAGCGAAACATACTATATGGTTCTTCAATTCGCTAACAATGGTGACCTTCGCCACTATTTAAAAAATAACTTCTCTGAATTAGATTGGGCAACTAAGATCAGAATGGCAAAAGAAATTTCTAGTGGGATTAATTGTTTACACCATGAGAATATTGTTCATCGTGATCTTGTAAGATATCCTTTTTACTTTATTATTTCAGCTTTTTATTAAATGCATACTAATATTATTATAAATAGCATGATAAGAATATATTAGTGCATGATGGTAGATTAATGATTACTGATTTTGGCTTATCTAAATCATTAGATAATAACACAAAATCTATTGAAGGAGGAACACCTACTTTTTCCGACCCATTATATCTCAAAAATACATTTTTATATAATCGAGATAAAGCTTCTGATATTTATAGTCTCGGTATACTTTTTTGGGAATTATCAAGTGGTGTACCTCCTTTTAAGAATATTTCTGATCAAATAGAAATAGTTTTACAAGTAATTAACGGCAAAAGAGAAACTCCTATTGATGGAACTCCCGTTGATTTTATGAATATTTATTGTGATGCTTGGAATGGGGATCCAAATTTGCGTCCTAAAATAGTTGAAATCTGTGAAAAATTAAATTGTATACGGATGGATCCTGTTTATAATCGTAAACAATGGATAAATGATACTGAAAAATATCAAAAGATTCAAAATATAGTTAAAATCTTAGACACTTGGTCACAGCAGATGGTTTCTATAGTAAACGCAGATAAAATTAATGCAGCGAGAACTTTTACACAGAACGATCTTTTTATTGGTTTTGATGAAAATGAAACTTTACAGAGATTAGCAACTGATTTCATCACAAGATTCCCTAAAGATAATGAAGAAGCAATAGTTAAAAGATGTAAAGCAACTTTAATTGATATTGCATCTTCCGATGGCATTACTAGAGCCACAAGATCGAATGTGGATCCTGGTGATATTAATCTATGGTATAATGTTTATTTCTGCAACTTCACTGACGAACATATTCCACAACAGAATCATGATAGTCTTAGTACATTTTTTGAGATGTTTGTGCACACAGACACAATAACAAGATTTATTATCAATACTTTTTCTAATATTAATACTGATATTACCGAGTGTTTAAAAGATCTTTTCAAATGTCAAGTGGATAAACTATCAATGTTTAAGACGGAGACTCAACTTCAAAATCGAGTAAAACAGTTTTGGGAGGAATCTGATAAAAATATGTTAATTTTTCAATGCGATGCTACTACCATGAATATTAAGTATGTTAAGCTAGCGAAATTCATCGTTGAACAATTTCAAATCGAATTTTTGAAACAAAATCCATATATTGCTAAATATGTTTGTATTATTCTCCACATTCAACGAGATCAAAATTATAAACCTTTGTTTAATTTTATGTGCGGATGGAAACAAGTTACAATCGAGACTTTAATGCCACAAGAAATGAATTTGTCAAGTATTTTAAATCGTTCTATGGTTGATATTATTAAGAATGAATACAAGTTTGAGGAGGTTATGAGGCATGAATTGCCATGGTGCTTATTATGTATAAAGTATCCATCTACTTCAAAATCAGTCGAGCATATAAAGTGAGTTGATTTTTTTCGTAAGGTTATAAATTTGATACATAATAATAATTATTTTTATAGAACTTTGAAAACAGACATAATGAAGAGTCTCCTTCTTCTTGAATGCTTAAAAACACGTACATTGAAATGGATAGAAGAAAACACCACAGAAGATTGGCAATATGAAGTTGCATTTGATAAAAAATTATTAAATCTATACTCATCTTTTTCTGCCGCATTATTGACTTATCTCCGATCATTGGTTAGACGTCCAATCGCTAAAATGTTATTTGCTCTTGAGAAATTATCAGTCACTAAAACATTTATATCAATAAGTCAAAAGAAAAGAAACTTGACATTAATTACGTTTTTACAAACAATGTTCTTGAACCCGAAAGTTCTAAATACCAATGGCATGCTTGAACCAGAACCTGATCAATATGTGATGCCAGAACTCTTTTATGATTTAAAATTCCCATTTTCATATTATTTTATGAAAAAAATTAATGAATTCAGGTCCACATGGGAAGATGAACTTGCAAAACTTAGAGAAAATCCAGAAAACTGTGATGATGATCAAGGACTTTCATCTGAAGTTTTTGAAAATGCCGTTATAGGATTTAGGGCGAATGTCATAGCATTATTTCCGGCTCTCAACGATCAAATTTTTAAAAGACTTTTCTGAATGGTTTTTTGAAGATTTTATAACATTTATAGTTGCAAATGATGCCGATAAGAAAGATTCCGAGTTACTTGCTAGATTATTACGGCAGCACATCGGAAAAGATAAAGTACTCGATCCAGTTCTTCTTCATATCTATTGGTGGGAAAGTTCTAATATTATATCGGCAGACTTACAATTAGCACAAATGTGTCCATCAGCTATAAATGAATTTGCTCAGAAAATGCCAGATATCTCATTTGAGGAATTTCTTGTAGATGAAGCTATAAAAATGATGTTAGATAAAATTGTAAAAAATGGTGGCGAACCTCAATTGGATCAATGGCAACACGAAGTTGTCAAGATTTTATCATTTAGTGCAAAGATTTTGAAACCAAATAAATTAAGATCATATCAATTATTACGTAT